TGCTTTGAGTTTCATCAGCGCCTCAGAGCAGAGCCGTGATGTTGAGTCCGTCAGAAGTGTGAGCGTCGACTCATTAGCATTTATTTCATCAGCTGCTCCGTCTTCAGAGCAGCTTCTCACCGGAGGACAAACCTCCGTCCGTCTCTCCTCCGTCTCTCTCCAGATAACAGCAGTTCATTAGTCAGATAACTCATCTCTGCTTCTCCTCTCATCTTTCCTCACACTCTGCTCTTCCTCCTTCAACCCCACGTCTATATGTTCCTTTCTTTCTGCCTGTCTTTGTCTCTAAAATACTTTTTTCCCTCTCTTCAACATCTCGTTCAACCTCACACATGCTTCTGTTCGGATTTACACACACATTATATTTAGATTTTCACAATGTTCAAAGAGTCAAAGGCTTTATTTGTGAAATGCAAAAAGCTGCATGGTAGTTTTAGCAATGAAACTCTAAAAACTCAACGTACACTTTACTCGAAAGATAAAGACAGTGCAATAAAAAAGTTAAATAGACGTAATTATGCAAGTAAGGTAAAGGAACAAAGACAATGCATTTAAACAGTCACAGTAAATCCTGTACACTGTAGTAATATATGAAAAGTGGATATGCTTGTCTGACTTATGTAAATATTTATGCCAACATATTCCAAATGAAATGGGTCTTGAACTTCTCCAGTGATCGTAATGTAAGATCAAATGTACGTATTCTTGTTTATTGTCTTGAATATTGTTAGTGTTGATGCTGGAAATGAAGCTGCTGCCAAACCGGGAACACGTTAGGCTTTATCTCACAATAATATATCGTATTGTAATGTATAGGGTTTCAAAGGGGCGGAACATTTCCGGTACATTTCCAGAAAGTTTCCATGGGAAGTTAAGCTGGGGAATTTTGGACACATTCGATGCAAGATTAAACAAAAAACATGACATTTCAACAGATTTTAATTAATTTTTTTAAGTTGAACAGAACAAGTTTTAATTATTTTATTGAACAATTATTTGTTTCATTGAAGAATAAAAACAGGAATGTTGAGTTAAATATTACTCATCTGTGCATGTGATGGAGGAATGCACAGTGCCTGTAGGGGTGTGGCCTCAATAACCATGCAGTAAGTGTGCTATGGCGTGGATATTCAAGTGTACTTGAATATCTGTTTGTTTTAGTCAAGATTATGCTAAAATATACTTTTCCCAACTATATTTAAGTTCCCTATGAAGAGCCAACCTTCAATTTAGAAATGTCCCAGTTTATTCCCATACATTCCCGTTTATTCCCATGGAAAGTTTCCGTCTTTGAAAATTCCCGGAATTTTGCAACCCTAAAGGTATGTATGCCATTTTACCATGTGTGCACGGGGTGGTAGCACAAAAGGTGGTAGCACAAAAGGTGGTAGCACAAAAGGATTATGAATATCCAAAGTAAATATCATGGACATCTGACTTAAAGAGGCCCTTTAAGCTTTTGGGGGATTTCCCTTTCCTGTTAGAGTAAACAGTCGTTGTCTTAGACGCTGATGGTGTCAGTAAAATTATTTTTAAAGGTAATATACAACGTTTGCTTGGCTTTTGTTTCTGTTTTTCTCCTTCTTCTTTCCACAAACCCAACACCACAGTATTTAATGCAAGGCTTTCACATCAGTTTATTTAAAGATATTAATAGTGTCATTATGTGCTGCAACTCCGGTGGTCAATACAGTCTTAATATATCGTTTTTTTCCAATTAGTATGCCCGCTCACACATGAGTATAGAGCCTGTGTGCTGGATATATAATATGTATATCTGATAGACGGATATAATGCAGACGGGGGTGGTGTGAAAATGAAGGCAGCATGAAAAAGACGAGTGTAAATGAGAGAGAGATAGGTTTGTACTTAGTATGATGCTTCTGTCTTCATGTTCTATTCATGTCGAAGGGTGTGTGTGTGTGTGTGTGTGTGTGTGTGTGTGTGTGTGTGTGTGTGATAGCTTATAGCAGATGGCTCTTAAAGGGATATTCCACCCCAGTATTCCCATGTTGTTCTTCTTTATTTTCAGCTTCATTCATTTGAAATCTGGCAGATATTTGTTTTTCTGTCTTTAAACTGTTCAAAACATTTATTTATTCTGTGTGGATTTAATCATTCATCTCTAAATAGATTTACCTGGAACATTTTGGAAAGACAATTTATTATATAATTTCCAATATGTTCATTTGTGAAGTTATGTGTCCCATTATAATTACTTCCATGTCTCTGCACTCGCGACAATCTTCTATTTTTTAATCCGCCCAATTCTCATCAATGTGATTTCTCAGTAAAGCCACACATGTTCACTTATTGAGCTGGACTGTTAGGAATGTGTTGGTCACGGTTATGTCGATACATCACTTTAGATTTTATTTTGGTGACACTTTTATCCAAATAATAGTTAGTTATAAGTGCAATAAACCATGAGAATATGAACTCAGAGGTGCAAATTGACTTAGTTTCAAATTAGTCAAACAAAATGTAGACCTTGATACAGAAACGAGAAAACGTGTTTTTGGATAATTTCACACAAATTAGGAATAGATTAAAATAAATGTGTGACTTTGACAGACATGGTCGTCGGCAGTTTTTTTGTCAAGAGAAGGCCTACAGGTGCCAAGCAATTGCTCTAAAAGCCCATACATCCCAAACTGTCCCTTTGGAACAAAAACCTGTTTGTCCAACTGTCAAAAACAAATGACCATTTCTCTGAAGACCTTGGTAGAAACTGGGGAGCCAAAAACCAGGTGAGATACTGGAGCGCCTCAGGAGAATCTCATGGGAGAGAAACTCCCTCTGGAGAAACAGGGAATTAAGCATTTTACATGCACAACATCCTATACAACACACTATAGGAAAGGAAAAACTCCAAAAAGCACAGTAGGACACTGCATTTAATTGTCTCTTTATCAATAAAACCCCTCCTCTTCTGAAGGTTTTCCATATGTTTTCGTCGTGACTGTGAACATTCACAGTTTATTTGCGGCTGGTGGAGGCTGCTTCACAGAGACTGATGGTGGGAGAAACACAAAGTCATCAGATTCTCCCGAGACATCTGTGAGAGGAAACATCAGCAGGCTGAAAGTGGAGAGGTGCATTTACATCTGATGCTCCTGACATCCAGCGCATCAATAAAGCAGCCGCAGAACATCTCTCTGCTGCGGATAAATCATTCAGACCTAGACACTGTGTGACTGTTTAAAGAAAACACAGATTAAACCTTCAGCGCCCGGGTCAGCGCCTCCGGGTCATCCATATTATATCATAACCTGGGTCACTTCTGCTTTAATTAACACAACTGGGATCTACAATCAATTCATTGATCTAAAATGGACAAACCCAACTCATCAATCAGAGTAATTAGTCGCTGTTATTTATCATTTTCACATCAAGAGGATCCTTCATTATTTTAATGTTGAACAACAGTAGAAGTCCCTTGCGTCCTCTATACGCCAATATTAGACCCACTAAGCTACTTGTGTAATCTATATAGCATGAATATCTGAGTTTAATGTCAATGGGTCAATCAAACACAAGACCCTCACTCTGGACACTGTTGTCCATGTTCATAGTCAAAGTAAAAGTCAACGTTAATACTCTATCAATATCTTTCGTTAGTCAGGTGACCCTTTAGTCCCAGAAGTCGTTTGTTACATGTTTCATAACGAGTGTTTTAGAGTAGTGCAATACTGTAGTACAAGTGTTGATCCGAATCTCACTAGGGGGATGTAATGGTTCTTTATGAGGTTGTGAAGTTTATTTGGAAGGTTCTGTATTGGGAGGTTGTAGAGGTTCATAAGGAGGTTTTTGTGGTACTATAGTAGGACCCAGTGGCACTTTTGGGGGATCTAATGGTTCTTTGGGAGGTTGTGGTCGTATTTTCGGAGGCTGTAGTGTTTTTTTAGGAGGTTGTGGTGGCACAGTAGGAGTTCTTTGTAGTACTATAGGGGGGTCTAGTGGTACTTTGGTGGGATCTAGTAGTTTCTTAAGAGGTTGTGGTGGTTTTTTAGGAGGTTGTGGTGGCGCAGTAGGAGGTTTTTGTAGTGCTATTGGAGGATCTAGTGGCACTTTAGGGGGATCTGGAGGTTGTTTTGCTACAGTAGGATATACTTTTAGAAACATTATGAGACTATAGTAAAAACTGTAGCATCACTCTGATCAATGTTTCTTTATCCTCACTTCCTTTTTGGAGCTGATTGAACTGAACCGAAACTGAATAGTAATTTGACTGTTCCCTAGAAAAGGCGTGTATTGCTAAAGAGTCCCAGTCGTGCAACAAAAGAAAGTAGACCCTGACATGTTGGAGTGACATATTGGTGACAACCGACAAAAGCATTTCTCTCCAACTCTGTAAAACAACTTTAAACAAATGTGGGAACATCCTTTTGTTGCAGTTAATCACTTCTCTGTTGAATATGCTAATAAGCTACCAGGACTTAAAAAAATAAACCGCTTTACAAAGAGAGAAAATAACTAGATTTGAAATGACGTGTTTGTCACTCAGTACGGGCTCGTGTGAAGCTAGAGACAGATAATCTACTGTGAGCAATAACACAGACAACAACGATATTTGTACAACTGTGATCCGCCTTTAACCGTGTCTCGACTCTTGTTACCGTTCCTCCTTTTTGTTCTCCGGACTGAAAGTTAATCAGCTCATTTTCATTTTCCTCGCCCCTTCTTCTTCTCAGAGAATAAACAGCAATAAGGCGGCAAGAGATGAGCAAGTGATGAAGAGATAGAGGGACAATAGAGGCAGAGAGGGGGAGATGTACGAAGGTGAGAGCGGGGAGGAACTGAATATGAAGGTTCACAGAAAGAGATAAAAGGACTGAGCCAGAGGAGGAGGAAGAGGAGGAGGAGGAGGAGGAAGAGGAGGAGGAGGAGGAGGAGGAGGAGGAGGAGGAGGAGGAGGAGGAGGAGGAGGAGGAGGAGGAGGAGGAGGAGGAGGAGGTGGAGCTCAGCTGTTGTTACAACGGGAGGCGTGCGGTCATAGAGAGCGGTTGCCACAGGGATTATTACCATGTCTGCTGCCGCGGCAACAACCGGCAGGACGTAAACTGAAGGGGAGGTTGTCGGTTTTGGGGAAAAAGCCTGAGGAGCAAGGCAGCTCATGAAAAGCAGGTAGGAGGAAGAAAAGACGGGGAGAAATATGGAGAGATTTAGAAATTAAGAGGTGTATCAGACTGGAAAATATTCTCTGAGGAAGTGAAAGAAGAGGAACAGAAAAGGAGAAGTGATTCTGGGATGTTTCTGTGCGTCTGTATTTTGTTTCACTCTGATTGTTGGCTCGGAGGAATACGCGCTCAGTAAGTGAGTCTGTTTTAAAGCTGATCTCACATCAGATCAGGTTGTTGAGGTTCAGTTTGGATTTGTTTGAATTTATTTGTGTGTTTAAAGGGAGATACATATCTGCAGGATGTCAGGGATAACTGGTTGTAGATTTGATTAACATATATTTTTTAATCTGTCTCTCAATACTTTCTGACTTTGTGTTTTGCTCCAAACACAAATTCATATTTAAATATTTTGCTAAATACATTTAGTTTACTATCATTTGACATGTAAACTGTAAGCAGTGTTTGTAAATTAGAAAATTATTAGCATTTATTTTGACGATAAAACTGAAAATGTTAAAATCATGTGATATTTATTTCTACAATGTTTCTGTATTTTCCAAAAGGGAATTTTATTTTGACAGAGACACAAGAAGCTGCTTTGATACGCAAGATTTACATTTAAATATGATTAGGCACACACGGATCCACTTAAAATAACAGAAACACACTTCAATGAGTTTAATAAATAAATGGTGGAATTGAAGTGTTACAGTATTTTGAGTTATTTGCAGCAGTCATAACATCATTTGTAATTGTGTTGTTTGATTGTTATTTTTAAGACTACATAACATAAAATGTCATAAAATCTTCACAGTTGTCAAAAGTAAGGTTGCATATTTGTGATTTTTTTCATGATTTCATATTTTTATTAGGAATACATGTGCTGTGATCTGAGAGCCACCGACAGGAAATCAGAGTGTTTTGAGAGAGACTCACATGTTGTTGGTGTTGGACTCTTCACGGTGTCCGTCGATCATAAAAACAACACAGTAAACCACCAGTGTTATGATTTGAAGCTACAGTTATGTGTACATCCTGCTTGTCCTGAGTCAGCATTTGGTTTATTTGCTGGACCGAGAGAACAGAAATATAGTTTCCTATTTCTCCAGATCGTCCTGGGATCTGATATCACAGTTAATGCTGCACAAAACTTTATGTTCTGAAAACAGTGAGGCGAGGAGCTCCACATTCCTGGAGGATACTTCAGTTCTCTGATCAGATACTTCAGATGGATATCAGTTTCATTTCCTAGCACTTAGCCTAGCGTCGCAACCTTAAGGTCATTCTGAAGCTGACACAGAAGCTGTGGTTCAAGGAAAAGTCATGTAAGGAGAATAGGGTAAACAATTGTACTATTACATATCACCCTGAAACAGTGGCGGTTCTAGACCAATTTGACTGGGGGGGCCACTGGGGGGCCAGTTCTTTTCTGAGGGGGGCACAATAAATGCAGGACGAAAAAGAGAACTAGACAGTATGAAGTAATTGCGCATAAGAAAACAATGCAATACAGTTATTGGTATTTGTTTCAGTACACTTATTTATTTCAGATAGATCTTATAGTTATTACTGTTAGCTTCAGCTTAAGTTATAGTGCAATGTTTGCAATCACACCATATGTATATAAAAATAAAGGCAATGAACAGTTACATCTCTACTTTACATAAGGGTGTCTGCACAATCTCACATTACAGCAACAAAATTCTGCGGTTTTTGGCAAACCGAGTACCAGAAAATATACATTTAAAAAAAAAAAAAAAAAACTTTTCATTGTTAGGGGGGCCACAGGGGGGTCAGAGGTCAGTGTTAGGGGGCACTGGCCCCCCTAGAACTGCCCCTGCCCTGAAACTCTCCTGTTTGATTAAATCCATCTGGAGAAGGTTTTTTTGTATTGCATGTTTTCTGAAATGTTTTAAAATGCAAATGAAGCCTTTTCTTATTGAATATGTGATACAGTAAGTTGCATACATTTTCAGAACAAAAATACAAACATTAGATAAAGCCAGGTTATACAACATTTTTTTTATTTTGTTGACATATTATAGTCAAAGCTTTCTTTTGTATCCCTCCATAAATAATGGTATTCTGATTCTGCTTTTTCAAAACCATTGATTTTGCCAGGTTTTTAGGAATAAAATGTAAAATCAGGCTGTGAATAACAAACCCCACTGTAAAAACCTTCAGATTAAAGACAGGCATGCACTCACAGAAATGAATCATGGTAGAGTTTATTTTTAAGCATTTAAATCTATTTGATTTTATTTAAATACTCATATTTTTTAAATGTATGTATTGAAATTAATTATAATCTGTATAATTCCTGTCAATTCTAAAATATATTGAATGTAATTACTTAGAGGTTAAACAATAGCAGGATAGCAAAGGTTTGGTGTGTGTAAGTGCTACTGATGTGGAGATTTATGGGAGAGAAAGAGAAAAATTAGAGAAAATATCCTTAAAATACATGTCTTGTGTAATATTATTGGTTTCGCAAAAACTACAGATGAATAGAGACTTTGTCAGTTGTGTGCTTACACTAAGACGATGATTGTTTCTACGACAATTATTGCATTGATAGAGTAAAGATGATTTTATTCAGATATGCAACTGCATTTCTTCTTCTCCTTTGGTCAGTGTCTGGCTCGTGAACTTATTATTCTTCGTCTTATTTCTATTTCGGGAATATTTAATACTAAACATGTGTGTTCAAATCAGGAAGTATAATGTTGTAACGTGTTAGTTATTAAGCTGTGGGCTACGACTTGAGCTACGTGTTATTTTAGCTCATATTGTTAACATTGTGTCTGATTTGCACTTATCAAAGTTTGCAGAATCAGCAATTAGAAGCTTTTTTGTGGAGTCAACTCTCACTGGACTGCTTTGATACTGAGGAAACTTAAAACGATTCACTGGCATGTTCTGAATCTGCTTCACATCTCGTCTCTTGTGAAGCTGATTTGGTCAGAGAGTGAAAGTCAGTGTTGACGCTGACTGGACGTTAAGATGTGAGGTTGTCCTGGAATGAAATCCCCTCACAGTGAATACCTGCTGACATGTTTATTGATAACAGTCAGGAAACATTAGCTGCCGTATTGATCAGAGACAAAGCAAATATCGGCTCACGTATCGATCATTTTATTTCTGTGACGCACATGATAGACTTTATGTCCAGAGCTCAGCTGGCTCTGTGATAAAGAGTAATAAGATCATCTCCATTTCTCAGAGAAACTGGACATTTCACGTAACGACCAGCTGACCTCTGACCCTTCACCTCAGCATGGTCGGACTTTCCAGTTGCGGTTGAATTGCCAACATAAGTCAGGTCCTGTGTCTGTGTGTAACTGGAAAGTGGTTTAACATATGGTTGGAAGTTGTACAGATAAGGACTTTGGCAAATGATGGCATACAATGGAAAACCCTTAAATAGGTCTGAAACTGAACGATCGGTTGGCCAAATAGTGCGTCACTTTGCACGTTGTCGCTGCTAGGAATGATGGGACAGCATTACCTCCTCTCCTTTCCTAAGGATGGCTCAGTGTATCCTACATCCTAAAGGAGATTACGTATTTATTTAGGCTGACCCTGAAGTTAGAGTCTCTCTGGCTCCTGCAACAAAACCAATTGCAGTTGGCCACTGGATTTCGGCATATTGAAAAAACTAGATTTATGATACTCACGTTTTTTTTTCCTGCATGATAATCTCGACATATTCACACCACTTTTAAAAAAAAATTATTTGTGATTTTTTAATGGAAATGCTATCGTACAAAGTAAAAAGTTCACGTTAGACTGTAAGGGAACTACAGCATCATCACATTACTTCACATCACCACCGCTAAGCTAACGGCGGCGTGATTACATTCAGTATTCTCACTTATACCTCATTCACACCAACGCAACTCCGGTTCAAGCTCCGTGCTAGAGCTTTTCAGGTTCAGAACCGGTTCTTCGGTTTAGCTCCGGCTCTTTTCACACCGCCCAGAGTCCGACTGGTGCTGCGTCATTGCATCATCGTTTGCGTGCCTGCTTCATAAAGCCAAACCACACGGAAACCCCTCACGTCTCACACCGACAACATCAATGGCCGATTGTGTTGAAGCGCTACTCGTTTTGGTTTTGCTCTGTCAAAACGAAAATGGGACGACTTTACTACCAACTTTACAGTCGTCATGCTACATTCAAAACTGCTTTACAATCGTAATCATCAACTTCAACGACGATTCCGATTCCACTTGCCCCCGCCCCCGCCTCGACGTAAGCGTAACGTATGCGGTGCTTTTGCGCTGGACAATTTGTTGGTGCTTGAAACGTACCGGATTCCAGAGCTAAGAGGCTGCTCCGCTGCGGTGTGCACAGGAAAACCCGGTGCTTTTCAAGCTCCAGCTCCAAACCGGCCCTGAAACACTGTTGGTGTGAATGAGGTGTAAGTCACTTAGGAACCTAAGTCACGTAGAAGCTTCAGACGTCAACCAGTGGAGTATTTACTGACATATTTTATGCCGTAGAACAAAACGTGAACATCTTGTGAGCTTGTGTTAACCACAGACTTTATTTCAGGCATCTAACCAAAAACAGTGGTACGATGCCAACTCATTTTTGGGTTTTAGGACTCGTTACTACACCGCTCTATTCGAACAATTAGGAACCTTCTATGCAAAAAAGCCAATTTGACCGCAACCTTCATGTCTGCAAGTTAACACTAAATTCCACTAATGAATATGGAACACCAGGGCTGAATTATCGCCGCATCTCTTTACTGACACTCGCCACATTTCATATTGAGTTTCTCCGCAGCCAGCTGTATTTGCGCGAAGGCCCGCCCCCGGCTCATGAATATTAACGAGCAGATAGCTGTGATGGAGGAGCGAGGGCACATCAGGACGACAGGCGGCAGGATTTACGACGCCCGGGGGAGTGTGGAGTCCTGTTTGCAGTTCAGGAGAGCATGACTGCACATTTCAACACGCATAATATAGTATGGTAATATAGTGTGATACACTGCAG